TTTCACACATCAAAAGACAATGCAAATTATTCTTATACTCGTACAACTCTTCAGTTTCTAAACCTTGCCCTATATATTTCACATGTAAATATAGGATAATCCAGTATTAAAGGAAGAAGAAAAAGAGGTTTCATGCATCCTAGTTATGTCGAGACTATTCATAGAGCACATCAATTCTTTGACATGCCAGATTTAATTAGACCAGCACTGATATGGTCAGCAATTATTTGCAATTCATTTCATCTTCAAAGCTCTTGACATTGGCCAAACTCGTAGTTTATTTGAGCTGGACGAAAATATTGACTTTACCTAGATTTTGCTAGAGCTGCATCGGGCCAAGGACCAGAGGGGTGAACAGATCTGCTTTCCAGGGGCCCAGCATGTTTGTCAAACATAAGATGAGAAGGGATGGTCACAATAGGACAAATTTCTCATATTTATTCAGAAAACAGCAACAATGGGGGAGAAGTTGTTGATGGCAACAGCTCCCAGTCACTGACATTTTGGGTTATTTTACCCATTTTCTGCCATTTTGGAGCTGAGATATATAGTATAGAAATGAGGACAATAGCTATTGATAAACAGGGTATGATTTATGACACGAGTCAGAGGCAGTTCTGCTTTCATCACTCATTCTCTTGTCTGCATCATTCAAATGGAAGGTTTTAAGGGCTAACTGTCAACCGCTTTTATTTATTTGTGGTGGAGAATCATGATATTGGAATAGGCTTGTTTTTTCAAGTCCAACTTTAGAAAATGACTTATGTTTTGGAAATCCGTAGTACTAGTAGACTTCTTTCTATATATGCGTACTATACAATGACATATATTCCTTTTCATAACAACATATGAATGTGGATATCACAAGATAACAAATCAACTCCATATTATATAGCCCATGTCATTTAGACTAACACCAATTTTATACACTTGAAAATTAGGAACAGCCTGTGATTGTGATATTTCATTACTGAGGGGAAACATTTATATTACTGAAGAAAAAAAATTACATTTTCGTACCGGTAATTATTTGTTTTGGTGGTATCCTCCATACATCTCTAATAGTTATAGAGTGAGTCTGAAGAAGGAATAGAAAATATTGTCTCTTTGGGCCAAAATTTTAGGATCCTAGGTGAATATTTACTTATAAATTCTATACAGACTGATGATGTTTAATGAATTCAGATTAGGCCTGAGTCATGTCGGGATTTTCATAAACCGGGTCCCGACGGCCTTGCACCGGTCGGGACCCGGTGTCCCGAAATCAGCTCGCGGGATTTGTCACTTGCCTCTATAAAAAGCGCATATCATCAGTATGTCCCTTAAAAGTGACATTTTTATCAGTCAAATAAATCAACACATGCATACCTCGGCACAGATTGGTATATTCTTCCATTTGACATTATATTAATCCATGATTGGCGATGTTTAGTGCCATTATCGTGCCTCTCAAAGTAAAAAAACTCGAGCAAAAATATAAAGACTACAATCGAGCCGCCATTTTGATTTATGCAGGTTGAATAAATCTGGTCAAAAAATATGAATGTTAGAATAATAAAACGGCTTTCTAAAAAATTCTTCTGTACAATATACCGATCATATAATATTTTAAAGACAAAAATAAATATTTATCTCTTATTTTAAACATCGCATGCTTTTTTTTAAAAGCTGAAAATTACTTGGTAATCACAAGAAGTTTCGATACGAATAGCTGTTGCAAGGCAAGTTCAGACTAGTCTCGGAAAAATGCGCAGTGCTCCTCGTTATCTGTAATGCGTGCCAGAACGAACCCAAACAAAGACGTGATCGTAACGAGAAAAAAATCATTAAAAACTACGAGAGCACAATTGGAAAGATATACTGCTCAAAATTACCATAATCAGATACATAACTTGGACAAAGAATTCAATAATCGCCCAAGAAATGCCACAGAAATTGTGATAATCGAGGAGTAACTGGGTACATTTTTATCGCAAGGGGCCTGCTGCAAATACTCGAATCCTTTATTATACTGCTTTTTACCGTAGAGGGCGGTATTTGCCTCGTGTTCAATTTAAACACGTTTAGATATATTGCAGCAGGCCCTTCCGATAATGATTGTACCTATAGTAACTCATTAAATATCACTATTTATGTGGCTTTTCTTGGACAACTATTGTATTCTTCCTCCAAGTTATGTAACTGCTTACGATAATTTTGAGTAGTTGTCTTTCCAATTGTGCTCTCGTAGTTTTTAATGATTTTTTTCTCGTTACGATCACATCTTTGTTTGGGTTCGTTCTGGCACGCATTATAGCTAACAAGGAGCACTGCGCATTTTTCCGAGACTAGTCTGAACTTGCATTGCAACAGCTATCCGTATCGAAACTTCTTGTGATTACCAAGTCATTTTCAGCTTTTAAAAGAAGCATGCGGTGTTCAAAATCAAAGAAAAAATATATATTTTGTCTTTTAAAAATTATTCGATCGGTATGTTGTAAAGAAGTACTTTTTAGAAAGTCGTTTTATTATTCAAACATTAATGTTTCTTTCAACCTGATTTATTAATTCTGCCGAGAGACCCGGCCAGTACAGTAGCTAGCTAGCAGCTGGCAACAACAACCCCATGGGGCGAACTGCTTTGCAACCCATATTTATATCAGCAGTTCGGATTGATTCTGGATGAGCTAGAATACGATTGGTAACAATTAAATACTTAAGTTTTAGAGTGGATTGATTTTAGTGGTGTGCAAAACTGCAATTTCTTACATATTTCATTATTTTTTTCGGAGCGCCGGTTCTCAAAAAACGAAACCGGGACCCGACGGCAACGGTCGGGTCCCGGTGTGATCGACCGTACCGACTCAAGCCTAATTCAGATCATCAATAAAATGGAAACAAATGTTGTTGTATTAAATCAGGTTGCTCATTAAAGTGCAATATTTCCTCTAATATAATAGTTATTGCAAAGCTTTATAATGGCTGTCTATTTGATAAGTTTGCTTGCCGCTGGCCATTGGACAAATGCTGATTTCCCAGTAGCATGATGTTAACAAGCTTTGCGTCCAATCCAATTGTGCTCCTTAACATTTTCACCAGCACGGACTCCACTAAGTTGGCAACCCCCAATCTCTTTACTTGTGCATCTGGCTTGATTAATTGACGCAGAGCTTGGGTCTTCCAGACTTGGAAATGATACATTGGTGTGGATAGACATAATTGAGGTGCCGCTGCTTTCTATGAAGATTAATCTGGCAATCTGTCAAAGCACTTAGCGCTAGGATTCCTCCAGGCATGTACTGGGGATTCAAGGAGGGGTAAATAGAGATTTGGAGGGGATTAGAAGCTCTTGTCGTCTTCGCGATCATTCGGACTTGCACTTTCTAACCAGTGAAAGCGGGAAATGATTTATCCAAACTATGTTAGTATATGACGGCACGTGGTCAGTCATATTGAATCTAGATAGAATACACAGAATCGTTCAAATATATCAAAATAGTAGACTCCCTCTGCATAATATTCAAGCTAAAAGTCAAAAGTATGAAAATGTCTAACAGACATAATATATTGCTGCATGAAAATGCAATTTTTGAGAGAGGAGTTGTTGATCTAGAAATACACTTATCAATATGGGAAGGAAATGTAAGTGTTCTGAATAGAAAAAAAAGAGGGGGGGGGGGTAGTCTATGATGGATCCACCAGAATGTGGCGCACTACAAAATTGCATCTTCTGAACTTTCAAGTAATTCTTTTTTTAAGTTAAACCTACACAAATAATTGTACTTTGAAGTGAAAGCTACTGGAAACAGCATATTTACCCCATATCACATGCATCAACATTATGTGACATACTTAAAAATAGCATCTTTTTGATATTCCAACAATTTAATTTGAAATGAAAACCTCTATTGATAAATCTATCTTGAAGTGAAACCTACTTGAAACAGCAAATTTACCCCAATGCCATATGCATCAACGTTGAAAAGGGACTGGGTTTGGCTTAACGACAGGTAATAACCATCTCTGAGAGGTGGAATGTGAGGAATTTGAGAGAGAAATCTGATGATGGATTGGGGGCAGGTAGGCAGATAATGGACAGTAGAGCTAGGATTACTTCAACACATGAGTCATGAATGTAATCAACAAGGTCGTGAATGTAACCAAAGAGGGAGTCCTACCAAAAGGGAGGTCTAGAACAAACTTGTCAATATGGGGGAGGAGGGACATTGATTGAAACAACATGGATTTGGTGTGAAACTGGTGTGAATCAGATTGATGGAGAGGCATTGTAGGTTTGCTGAGAACCAATAGCAACGTTAGAGTTGGTCCATGGTGGTTTTCTGATTCCTTGATTTTGATATTTTTGTAGATGCAAGGAGCTTCTGTCTAATAACACCTTGGTTGTAAAATCTTTTTTCAGAAGAGACAGATAAATGGAAATTATTTTGAATTCAACTTTTGTCAAATTTATCACATTGCTGTCACAGATATGATATATGTATCTACAGACTTTTTTAATAGCTAAAGGTGTTTTGTATCTTGAAAGTTGATATTGATACCAATAGTCGTAATCATCATAATCATCATCATCATCATTACCATCATTACCATTATAATCATTACTTCCGCTTTCATCATCATCATCATCATCATCATCATCATCATCTTCATCATCATCATCATCATCATCATCATCATCATTGTCAGGTTCAGCGGTCTTATCAAGATAGTCGATCTGCATGGAAGAAATAATGTCATTCCCAGTATCTATGTCCAGATCATCCCTCTTCCCCATGATGTATCTCTTCTTGCTTGCCACATAATTCATGGCTCAGGAATCGTATATATCCAATTACATCATTAAGCCATTGGATCTAGTTCGGAAACCATCCAAGAAACCTCACGTAATAGGAATAAAGTATTCCGTTGCAAGTGCACTTTAAAATGTTAGTCCTATTTATATATTGTCACTTCCTTATACACACATGTACATTTTACTCTTATTCATTTGTTTCTTTCAGATCGTGTAAGCCTAGCCTGCAGTTACACTTCACCTCTCTGTGGTTTGGTGTCGGATAAGCAGTTACTAAAGGTAAGGAAAAAAAAAACTAAATATAGTTTTAAAAGATATGGAATGGTAAAAAAGCAAAAAGATATAATGGTGAATTCCAGAGTATTTTGATAAAAAATTTCTATAGATCTGTAATTGTGATTTCATTCTTTGCCTTCTTTACTAATGTTTATTCATTCTTCACTTTATTTACATCTATTTCACAGACATTTTCACACCAAACAATACATGTGTATTCATTTCGTTGAGGGTAATCATGACAACTGTAGAACTTGCTTACATTCCTGACATTCTTGTTTGTTGTTTGTTTGTGAGATTCGCAAGACAAACAATAAGGTCAGGAGTGCAGGTCAGTGTCGGCCTTGCATGGAGAAAGAATATCGGTGAACTAAGTGCCCCTTATTATCTTATTGTGAGAATTCGTGATAAATGATACGATAATTGCTCTAAACAGCGTTGAGTACTGAACTGAATCCGAGCTGTGTGGGTTATACCGAATGCAGACCTTTGCTTAATATCAATACAAGGTAGACTTATGAAGAGTTCATGCACTTTGATGCATTTTATCTCCATTTCGTGTTTGTTTGTTTGTTTATTTTAAGATATGAATTTGTTGGTGTATGAGTCCTTGGATGTGTTGGTGTATTATCCACATTTTATGACTGTTTGAAGGACTTTGGAATTGTCAAAAGAAAGATATATGCAAGTTTTTTTTTTATATCAGGCAGTCAGATTTCTTAACAGGTAGTATTTCTTTGTGGGCATTTTGTGTGTGGAATATATTGGTTGCCATATCTGTATTATGGTATATCATTGATTGTTGAATACTTGTTTGTGAGGGACCAATAAGTAAGTGTTTAAATCTCTGTGCACTGTTTACTTTCCTTTTACATTCATGATAGTGACTTTAGTGAGATATTTATATTTCTGTTATGATGACGACACATACTGTATATGTGCTGATGCTCGTATTACAGTTACCATGATGAAGCTGGCAAAGCATTGGGAAGGTTAATTGAGTGTTTTCTAGTGCATCCGCCAGTGCGTGTATGTCATCTATTGAGAGCCAGGCGGGTGTTAAAGATGAGCTTGAGTTCTGGAAATACTAGAAAAATAAATTCTTACAGAATCCAACAAAACTCACACTGAATGTTCAAGATTACCAATAAATGACACGTGCAAACAATTTTTGGTAGAAAATGTATAGGGGCTGAGTAATGAGCATAGAAAGATAAGGAAATTGGAGGTAGTAGGCCCGACACCATGTGCATAACACAGGTCATTATGCGCAAACAAGAGTTATGATTTTTATTGCAGATGATTTCCAGCAATTTTTTTGTAAGTTTGTGTTTATTTTACTGGTTAAAAAAAAAAAAATCTACTGCAGGACAAACAATCCAGAATGAATTGTAGCCATGTTCTCTCTTTGACAAACGATTCCCATACCAGAGCTCGATATTAGCTTTAACCCTAAATAATCAGGCTCTGAGCAGATAAAATACACTCAAGTACATAATCTTGCTGCAATTTCTTAGATAATTAAGTGATTTCATTGTGGAATATGAATTTCATTTTCTACAGACAAAGAGCACAGTAATAACCCACCACCATGATACCCCACCATCATAATAACCAACCACCGTAATAATCCTTTAATTAATTCTGGGAACTGGTCATGTATAAGCTTGTTATAATTATTATACAAAACACAGCTGTGGCTCCCTAGTTATTGACCATCACACCATTATCAGTTTATCATCATAAATAAACCCAGCCCCGAGGATATTCTCACTAGCTGCCTGCCTCCTGACCCTGACCCCCCCCCCCCCCCCCCCCCCCCCCCCCCCATCTCAGAGTTGAAAATTATTAGAAAGAAATATGCTACTCTTCCTACTACACCGAATCGAGATTGTCCCCTGATAAGTTCTCATCTACTTGAGATGTTATGGCTGGCAATGTTTTTGTTTTGCTCTTGTGTGTACACATACTCTGTTGACATTGCTCTTTTGCATTGGTGTATGATCAGTGGAATACACGCTGGGTTAAAGAACTTTATGAAGGGAAGATCAAGACTTCCACTCTTAAATGTTTTGAGCTATATTATTTGTTCAGAGTGAGATGGGCATTAACTCTGTGTTGTGGTATATGAGTTAACACCCTTCTGGTTCCAAACAGATGATACCTTGAAATTGCCTTGTGATGATGATAATTATTTTACTACAGAAATTGCATTTTATTTAAAATGTTTGGCAAATTTGGCGAATTCATTTTCACTTTCTACTCTTTGTTATACTATTTAGGGACTCTGAAGATCCAGCAACAAAAGAAATTTTATCCAAAAGAGAAATTTAGGGATTTTTGGTGACGTACAGTATGTGGCTATTTAACGTCTTTCGAGCAAAAGTGCCCTATGCCTTCCATGTTTTTCGAAAGCATTTTAATATATAATTAATTACAACGTCTTACAGTATTTTAGTACTGTACATGGTGCGGTGGAGGGGGGAGGGAGCAAATACCGAAAAAGCCCCAAAAGAGGAATTGTTAATGTAGGCCAAACATGCAAAGTGCATTCTAGTGCACTTACTTAGTATGCACAACCAATGCCACTTGCTTACCACCCTGTCCATACACCATCCGATCAGAATAATAAGATGAAGGACTATTTGTGTGTGTGTGTGATGTCTGGTGACACTTGACCTTCAGAACATAATACAAAGTGCAAAATGAAAGATAATCACGTTTATTGTGTGAGGGTGATGATTCACAAGTCTGGCAATGTCTGTCCACTTCACTGCTTCTCAAAGACATTTTTTCTTCTTCTCAAAACAAGAACATTCCTAGCGACGACCACTATTGAAGAAGTTGATGATTTTTATTTGAATAACTCTTCAAGGGGGACGTATACTAGCCACAGTTATGTTGATAATTAGTCATACCATGTCAAGATGAGGTTAGATTAATCAAAAGCAGAGATTTTTCTTCTTTGCTGTCGGTGTCAAGCCATGTACAGGCTACTGATGTGCTGGTGAATATTTGTCTTTTGAGAGTCAGAAGAATGTTAATCCTGTTTTGAAGTTTACGAGTAGGAGTTACCACATATAATAGTCGATAATGATATTGTGTGTTTAGAGGTAGAAGGGCATTAACCCTGTGTAAAAGATTTCAGTTACCACCCTTCTGGCTCCAAACAGACGATATATTGTTTTGTCTTCTTTTCTAAAAAAATTCCCTCCGATATTATCCACTCTCCCATCTCTTGACTTTGATGTACTGTAGTGTGGAGTGGGAATGAAACTAGTTCATCCTAATGTGCATCATTTGATCAAGGGCACTTTACATTTAATGAGGACACTCCCACACAGTCCCAGCCCCGGAACCTCCTCCACACAGAATTATTTCAAGTATTTACCCTCCTGCAATTTTCATCAATTTTCCACTTCTTCTCAACTTCAGTTCTTTTGGGCTGATCGTTTTAGATTGCATTTTATCGTGGATTAATGGGTATGACTGTGACACATTTAGTTGGGTGCATGTCTGTTTTTGGATCTCTTATGAATTACATTCATTATGTATTCTGCGCTATGCTTTGAGCATAGTCGGTTATAGATGGAATCGTAATTAAATCAAATTTGCTTGCACAATACTTACTCTCTTTCATTTCACTATTTAAAGGTAATGTCATTGCTTTGCACATATGCCTGATTGAGTATGAATTTCAGCCCCTGTAGTTGTTGAAGTTTGAAGTTTGAAGTTTTATTTATTCCACATTTTACATAGAAAACAGTTTATATATTTTTTTTTTATACAGGTGTTTATTATTATAAGAATAGATTTCACACAATTTTTTTTTTTTTTTTAAATTCGAGATTTTAAGTAACACAAGAGAAATCCAATACCATTCGCTTGCACATTGAGAATTAGAGACATATTAGATTAATTTGAAGCAAACTTGAAAATGTCACCAGATGAAGTTATCATTTTTTTAATGTGATTTTGATAATTCTCATATTTCGCTGGAACGAAGGTTACTTTTAGATTTTGACTCTAGTTTGGGGTTATTTTCAAGCAGCGCCAGTGATATGACTGAAGCTCCTATGACAATTGCTCACCGGTTGATTTCCTACATTAACCGAACTCCTAACTTGAACCCTGGACTGAACAGCATACCTAACCCGTACCCTAAGCATTAACATAACCAAAACCCATTGCTATCCTAAACCTAACCCCATGTCTCTGATGAAATAAAGCCTGAAGCAAAAGTCGGATCTTTGCAGTGATACCTTTAAAAAATAATTTCCCCCTCTCTCCCTCCCTAGTATCCTATCATCCTTTAGCCACAGGTGCTGTTGTTGTCTAATCATACCGATCAACTCATATAAACATAATTGATCACTCTGTATTAGTGCTGTAACATCACGGATATCTCCAATTCCGTTTAACCGCCAGTCAAAACCGGACGGTTTTCGGTTAAACGATTTAAAAAAAAAAAAAAAAAAAAAAAAAAAAAAAAAAAAAAAAAAAAAAAAAAAAAATCGTTTTTTTTTTTTTTTTTTTTTTTTTTTTTTACCGACTCTGTCGGCAACTTTCATTTAACTGCGAGGTGCATTTAAAGGGGCCGATTTGTGCTTGTGAACTTGTCACAAATAATAGTAACAATGTTGTTTTTAGAAGAATGTGTAAGATCATTAATATAAATTAAAAACAGTAGAGGACCTAGGACAGAACCTTGTGTAAAAGTTGGATGAATTATTATTATAAACTACATATTGAGATGATGAGATCTATTACAAAGATTACTTTCAAACCAAGATGACAGACAAATTGGAGTGTTGTTCTAGTTTTAGAGTGGTGAGTCAACACACAGATTACTGAGCTGGGAGACATTGCCAGGCATAGTGCCAGGTGGAGGGGCATAAATCGAAACTTTAAAAAAAAAAAAAAAAAAAAAAAAAAAAAATTATAAAAAAAAAAAAAAAAAAAAAAAAAATATTAAAAAAAAAAAATTAAAAAAAAAAAAAAAT